TTCTTGTATGACACTAACATCAGCACCACTATCAATTAATGCTACCGGTTCTATTTGATAATTATGATCTATTAATAATTTAATAATAACATGAAATTTAAAAGAAGTGATTAAATCTAAAGATCCTAGGATATTTTCATTTCCTGTTTCATTTATTAATATGTTCCTATAAGAATCTGCTTGGTTTTTATTCTCTAAATTAGAGACTCTGTCATCTAAAACTTTTATTAAGTCTTTTTAAAGTTTTTACTTCTTCCTTGAGATTCATAATCTCTTCTTCTAAGTCACTTACCGATGTGGGAGCTTTTTCTATCCTATTAGATTTCTCTTTGAGCATTTTATGTACTTTATCCATTGTATATGGATTATTATCTATCTCTAATGATTCATCATTACTACTTCTTGGAATATCACTAACTTGTTCAATTATTTTTTATCTTAACTCTTGATCTTTTATTGATCTCAAGAATTTCAGTATATTATTACTAGTTAAAAACTAATGTCTGATTCTCTAAATTGAGATATAATTTTATAAAATTCTTCATTTTCATCATTAATTTCTTTTATACAACTATTAGTTCCCTTACAAGGATGACAACACTCAGTTTCATCTTCTGAACTTTCGATGTATTACTTAACTGATCTATTTCAGCCTCATCTGAGCTTTCTGATTCAGATTCTGAATTTAACAAATTAATTAATTCATTTTTAATTTCCTGGCTAATATCTAAACTATTTATTCTTCTCTTCATTTTGCATCTATTTGCAAAATGTCCTGGCTGTTTACATTTATAACAAATTATATTCGCTCTATCTTTCTTATTCTCAAGTCATTTCATTTTCCTTATTGCTCTTTTATTTAATTTTTCTTGAGAATTTTCTCTTCTTTTTCTTATAATATTTATCATCTTTTTTGAAATTTTTTATCATTCTTTTTTCTGATGGAATTTCCATACCAAATTGACTACAAAACTGACCTAACTGTTTTCTTTCAGTCAATCTTTGTCTTTTAATTTGTTGATTTAATTTTATTTCATTACACAAGGCTAAACCTTCCTGAATGCAAGTTCCTATCAATTTTCCATAAGTATAATCTTCATAAGAAATATTTATTCTATCTTTTCTTAAGATTCTCCTAACTCTTTCAGAAAATAAACTTGGTAATCCATCTATAAATTTAGATTTCCAATGAACACTATTACTATCATGTAATTCCATAACTCTATTAAGAAAAGCATCTCTATACCATCTAAAATCAGATAATGTTTTACATCTTAAATTTTGTCATAAAGTATGAATATTTTCACTATTATCTGAAATTCTTCCTGTAAAATGTTCTAATATAGTTACAATCAGTGTATAAACTGCATTTTCTATAATCTGAGATCCTTCTTATTTAACCTTTCTATAAATTTCTTCTTTATTTTGTGGAAACAAATAATGGTCCCACCAGCCTTTTAACTGGCCAGTAAATCCTGAAACTATTATTTTTGCAATTCCTACATCATTATTTCCATTTGTTTTACAAATAGTACTATACATTAACATTCTATGGGCCAAATTATAAATTTGTTTTTCGGTATATCCATCTATATTCCATTCATAAATACACTTCCCACTGTAACTATTATTTAATATATATTCCTGTTCTTCATGTAAAATATCTGCAGGAGAAGGTCTATTATAATAATACAACCTCTGAGTGGGTTTATTAGCATACTTATTTAATTTATTAATCTCATCACTTATTATAGTTCTATAATCCTTATCTTCTTCTAATTTTTCTGAAAATTCTTCTTCCAAAGTATTACTCTTTAAATTTTTAAATTTAGTATCTAATAGTTTCTCTAACCCTGACAAAGATTTTAATTTAAAATCTTTTATTTCAGGTGGTGGTTGAAGAGTTGGTGCTGCAACAACATCCCCTCTAGTATTACTAGTGTCTCTATTATTTTCTATTAAATGTATTAATTTATCTAACCTACCTTGTAAAGATAAAATTTGTTCTCCTAAGACATTCAAATAAACATTTGTATAATTATTCTGTTCTATTATTTTATTCATCTGTTTTACAGTTATAACCAATGTTTCATCGTCAAATAATTTTGAATATGCAGAAAAACTCATAACATTATTTTCCTTTTCTATTCTAAAAGGTTGTTGTGGAGGAAATATTGCTTTTAGCGTATTTCTATTCAAGAGTTTATAATCTCTTTCCAATACACATATATGTGGTTCAATATAAACATATATAAACCATGGTGCAAAAGGGAATAAGACATTATGATATGATAAAAACTTATAAAATTCATCCAAAATAAATTTTTGTATTTCTAAAGAGAAATTTGGAAAAAACCACTTTCTAAATGGTTCCCACCTTGGAAGATTGAATTCTTCTTTGACTTGATGTCTAGCCAAAGAATCTAGACTGAAATCTATCTTATTCATATTGAAAATGCCATTTCTGATTCAGTTATTTCTTCATCTTTAGTGTTATAAACACCTTTAACAATATTTTCTTTATTTTTTACTAATTTATCAACATGACGATTATTCTCATCACGTTCACTAACTTGTGAAGTAGAAACATAATAAGGATGTTCACTGTATGAGGTAGAAGCACGACTAGGGATAAAATCTTTAACCTCTACTAGAGATGAAATATAATGAGTTGAATATGATCGAGATAATCCAGATCTATGAGATCTGTTATTATTCAATAGGAATGGATTATTCCTCATTTGTATATAAACATGTCTCAGGAGTTTGTTCAATAGAACTTACTTCTGTATTTATTTGTGACCGGATATTACCAGCTCTTTCTATAACCCATTGTTCCGGAATAGGTATTTCATCCCATTTAATTGTTTTTCTAGTAGTAATCTTTGATTTATTGAAATTAGTTTCAATTAAAACTGTTTCATTTATTTTTTTATCAATTAATTTACAATTGGGATTTAAAGTCATTAAAGGTTTATAATAAATTCTATAACATATACAAATCAATTCTGATCCAGTCATATAATTATATCCATGAGTTTTAACATTCAAAGTTAATGCGTCAAGTATATTAACGTCACTTAAAGATAATGAAAGATTTGGATAAACATTAAAATAAACTGGTCCATGAGCTAAACTAGATTGTATTATCCCCATTAACGATTGTTTCCAATTTAAATTTCGAGCATCTCGTAAACAAGCTATGAAGCTTTCTGGTAATCCTTCTAAGGTTAATGGTTTAAAAGCAATTTGCACCAAACCAATATGAATAAATTTATACAATTGACAATATCTATTAATATCATCTGATTGTAATAATTTAATTTCTATCTCCTCATTGTCTAAAGAAATAGATTCTTCAGTTGTTTTAACAACCTGTTTTAAACCTAATTTTTCAAAAGTACATAACTGATATACAGTCTTTAATTTAATCTTTGGAATTGTCTATTTATTCAATTCTTCTAAATTTTCAGGAATATCATACTCTTGTTTTAGACTATTTTTTAACAGTCTTCTTGTTTTTCTGAATTAAATTCATTGGAATATCAAAAGTGGGTGTTGGGATAAGAATCACATATCTAGGCTTTCTGCACATAACTAATGCTTGCATTCTTTAATAGTGTAATTCTTTTTTATATTTTCTGTATAACTTAGAAGTTGAAATATGAAAGATAAAATTAATTCTTTAAATATTAGTAATTATATTAGTATCAACATATATAAACTAGGAAGTATAACTGCATTTTTTGAAAAGAAAAAAACTTCAAAATGAATTTATTGTCATTCAATACTAACTTATGAATGACATTATTTAAAGATCATTCGTAATAATCTCTCCGGTTAAACTAATAGATACTTCCTCTGTCTCAAAATATTTTTTGAAAGATAAATCATATCAATTCTACAATGAATACTATAATTGTCTATCATTGAGTGATATCCAGTTCAGAGAAACAATTACTTTGGGACAAAGAAGTATATAGTAAAAATTATCTAAATTAATACTCTATAAATTAATAAAATCTGATATATAATTTTTTTGGTACGAAAATAATCAATAAAATGATATTATAATAAAAAAAATTTAAATCCATGTATATAAATAGGTCCCATCAAAATAATAAATTAATAATGATCGAGAATGCAAAAAAAAAGTTATGGTTTTTCTTGCAATTTATCTAATAAAATTTCACTAATGGATTTTCTCAGGTCATTAAAAAAATTCTAGATTCGACTCAAAATATAAGAAAATTAGTAATTTGTTATGTAATACAAATAAAAAATAAATTAAAAAGTACTCCCTCCGTCCCATAATTATTGTCCACTTTGCCCAAAAAATTTTGTCCCAAAATTATTGTCCAATTTGACTTTTTATGGATCAAGTTACACATTTGTCCTTAGTAAAAACATTATCCATAAAATCTTTGTGGTTAAACAATTACTTATGTAGGGGTATATCCGGTTGTTCAAGGTAAAATATAGTTAAGTTTGACTAAAAATAAAATCTTTCATTTTAATAAAACTGGACAATAATTATAGGACGGAGGGAGTAGTACTTTGTCTATAATACTCCCTCATCCCAGAAAAATAGTTCCCATCAAATTTTGTACTAAAATATAATAAATCTTAAAACTCAATATGATTTATCTTCGTGGGACAGAGAGAGTAATAATAATGAATTTATTAACAAAATCATAATCCCTAAAATTTAACAAAATTTTATGTGTCCAACAATATGACTTTAGAAAATTTTTACTACAATATTAATTTGTGAACAAAAAAGGTCCTATCAGTTAGTGAAAATAATTTAAATTTTGAATATAAACTATAAATATGAAAATATTCACTATTTTTAATAATCGAATGATATAAAGCAACATTGAACGTATCCTGAAATTAGGTACATCATTATACGGCCAAAAAATAACCAATCTATAAAAGTTATCCACGATTACGCTGATGAAGTAATTCTAGTCTTAGACGTTTTTTCTGTTTTTTACTAGTGTCAGTCTGTTAGACGTTTTTTTAAGGAGGAGAAGCCCACGTGAGTCAAAGACTGTCTTCTCCCAAAGTGATTAGAAGTACATCGGAAATAAAACCTCTATAGAAGATCTATAGAAGAGATATAAAATCTCTGTTTCTCTCTCCTCAGCAGCTTTTGCAGAGTATATTATTATTCTGTTCTTGACTTCTTTGCGGCTGCTGGGATTTCATAAACCCAATCGAAAATAGCCCCCCTTCTGTTTTTTCAAACGGGGGAGACAAAACCACAGAGATTGGATGATGTCCTGCAAGCCGGGTCAGATCCAATGGTACCTTCCGGAGGAATTGATCTTCGTCATCCTCCTATGGCTTCCAGCGAAATCTCTGATGCGGTTCAAAGCTGTTTGTAAAGCGTGGTATGCCCTGATTCGCGACCCATCTTTTGCCCAAACCCATTACGCCAATTCTCAAACCCGGCCCTGTGCCTCGCATCTCTTGTTTCATATCACCAACAAAATTTTAGACCCCGGATCCATCCATCCCGCGAGCCCTAATGGAGCTTTTTCGAATCAGCTGCCTGTACACAGGTTTGATGCGAAGGGAGGAGCACCGTTGACCAGCATAGTCAACGGCCTAATCTGTTTATGGCGCCGTGACGGGTATCGGCTTGACCTCCTCAATCTGACGACTGGCGAAAAAATTGCTCTTCCCGATCCTCCCGATCCTTCACGTGCTTTTAGATTTAAATTTCTTCCGTCCTTTCAATTAGGATTTGATCCAATCCACAATCAATATAAAGTGTTTTATTGTTCTTCGATGGAAAGAAACCCTTTTGTCCTCACTCTGAGTAGCAATATGTCGTGGAGGAAAGTTGAAGATGTCCCCCTGGCAAAGTTTTCTCTATCTATGAATAAATACGGAAGCAGGAATGTATGTGTGGATGGTTCAATATTTTGGTCTTTTGAACGGTTGATTGTGGATGGTCAGAGGGTAGTGCAGTATTTTGATCTTGCGGATGAGAAGTTTAAGCTACTTTCGATTCATGATCAATTTGGTGACGGAAAATTCGATTCCGAGTTTATCACAAACATTGGCGGCAAGTTTACTATGGCGGGATTAGTCAAGAGATTTGGTGGTAATGTTGAGAATCATCATAATCATGAATCCGTTGGCAAAATAACACTGTGGAGACTAATCAATAAGAATGATCAGGTTTGGGTCAAATCTGAAATTGAGCTTCCGGAAGAAATGGTTTCCTTCAGACACTTTAACATTGTTGGCACAACAAACACAGGGAAGGTCTTAATAAAAGCATACCCATGTTTGCCCAGAGATTTAAGAAAATGGGCTTGGGGTGTTTTGCTTTTCTGTGATTTGAGAAATAGGGGAAACTATGAAACTAGAAAACTGCGGTTTGAGGAGATTGATTACTCTGCCAAGATACCTCCTTGGCCAATTGGTCTCAATGTTAGTCTCCATGTCGAAAACATTCTTCCTTTGCATCTCCTAGTTCAATCCGGTAAGCCAAATTTATGATATGATTCATTTGAACCAACTCTTTTCTTTTTCTCTAAAAAAATGTGTTGTGAGAATTTATTCGCTTAGTTAGAATACTAGGTTGTTTGTGGTCGCGCGCAGTTTGTATTTCTAATTTATTTTATAGATATATTTTTATATTGAATCTTTCATAATGGAATATAAGTTGTACCCCGTCCATTTCAATTTGTAGATCGTTTTAAATTTGAAGAGATTTTTTAAAATGTATGTTCTTTTACAAATTTTCGGTAAATTAATGACTATTTTTCTAACTTTTCCTTCAATAAATGATGCTAATCTATTTTCATTATTCTTCTTTATAGTTCTAATGTATTTAATGAGGGGTAAAACAAATATTTAACAAATAAATTAATTTTTGGATGATAGTCTCCTTAGTTTGCGTGTAAAATGTAAAAGACTTATATTTTGAAATGGAGGGAGAATTAAATTATAAGACGAATTTGTTATATGGATTCCAATATTTTTATTTTTCTTATTTTGTATTTTAGTCAACCGCCACTTCAATTAAGTTGGAAAACTATGTGCATCTATTGCAACAGGGAGTACAACAATCTTTTATTAGTTTGTGGTATTCAAATGAACATGTAAAATTCAAACTTCAAAGCGTCTCTTGAGTGAGTCAATATCAATGGCTGTTTACGATATAGAGCTTAGTTTAGCATGGTTTATGATAGGATCCTAGGCAATTGCAGGATTTGGTCAAAACTACCTGCATTAAATGGCTTCAATTTCCACATATTTGCATGGCTTCTCTTGTTTTTAAGCGCGTGCAAAATTTATAACTTAATACTTAAGAACAATCTTTCCTAAATTTACATATCATGTCTCACTATCTCACATGCTTCAAACAACTTCAATACAATAATTCTGATGAAACAATCATTTTCTTTACAATTTTAGTTTATGTATCTCAGAAAACAAATAAACCTAAATAACCACGTCAATTCAAAAATGGCCTTTGAACTTCATTAGTTTCCATTTCTAAACTCTAAGAACACATCAATATTTACTAAGTTCTTTAAAAAGGTAGTAAAAATTATTCAATGATTACTCGAAAAAGTGTCACTTTCTGTCTCTTGTACATGTTCTATCACGACAATCCACCCATCAAGAAGGGGAAAAAAAAGCTCATCCTCACTACAAGAAAATGGGTCTTTAGTCACAAGTTGCAGTTGTGACTAAAGCCCAAAAAGTTGTCAATAAAGAGGTTTAATGATGACATTTTGTTGTCGAAGAGCCGTCGCTAAAAGCCTATCATTAAAGAGTTCTTTATTGACAACCTTACTGAGTCGTCAATGTAGAAGCCAATAACGACAACACGTAAGTCATCACCATAGTGACAACTTTATCTTGTCATTCAACTGTAAGTCGTCACTATTTTGGCGACCTAAATTTCGTTGATGTTATGAGGACTTAAATTTATCACTGTTATGACAACTTAATTTTGTTAGTGTTATGACGACTTAAATTTATCACTATTATGACAAGTTATGACAACCCAAATGTTGTAACTAATGTGACAATTTGGTTGTTGTCGATCTAATGACCACTTAGAATCGTTATAAAAAGCTAATATAGTGATAACCAAACTTTGACATCATTTTGTAGTAATTTTCGGTAACCAATTAAAACGTAAAATACTAAATTGTAATCAATTTAAAATGACATCTAAAAGTTATAATCATAAACATATTTATATACCAAAAAGCCGCCACGCGACAAGACGGTGTACATAACAACTATGCCCAAATGTCTAGGCATTATAACTATACCAAAAGCCCACAAAGTAGTGTAGTGTGCATGCTACAACTATACCGAAAAACCACAAAATAACACAACTACATACATGCAAGAAAGATCGCTATTTTCCACGTCTTCCAAGTCAAAAGAATGAAGCAAGTCTTCATTATAATCCTGCAAATCCACAATAAAACAGACGAAAAGAGAAATCATGATAAGATTTCAAATTAACTAATGAGTAGTGATATAATAATAATAATAATAACACTTTTGTCACACTCACCTCCAAAAAACAGAGAGTGTCATTCATAGACAACCAACCTACAAGATTCAAACACCAATGAGAACTCAATTTCCCTACCTCTTAAGCCGTATTGAAAACTCAAAGGTAAGAGATACACCATACTCAAAAGGATAAGTTAATATCATCACCAATATCAAAAGAAAACTATATGAACATCAGCAACCATACAAAGTCGCTACAAGTATTACTAATCTAGAGGATAAAAATAATTTAGTATCACATAAAAGTTTCTTATTATAAAGATCAGCTCAACAAATAATTTCTTTACAAATAGACCCCGTAAACTACTAAGGTCATAAAGGTGCAATGTGGATCCGACGTTAAGAAATTTCTTTTGCTAAAACAGAATGCTTGAGTTTCGTGCTCTAAAAAGCTACAGCTAATCTGCCATTTTCCACATTATTTGAGTCAAACTTAGGGACAAGATTAACATGCTAAAAATGAAGAATTTCACCTCAATTAACACTGATTCATCACTCAAGTTCATTGTAAACACTTGGCCACTCAAAACTAACATCATTTCCAGCAGTGAAATTGAAATCACCAACCACTATACAAGAATGTTACAATTACTTAAGAACAGAGACACACTATGATCAACTAAAACCTAAAGAATAAATCCAAAAACTAACAGATTAATGATTTAATCTCATAAAGCAACCAAAACAGACAAAGCTCAGTTCAAAGAAAAAACACTAAGACTCTTGAAAAATATAGCTGAACAACATGTTGAAAATTTAGAAATTAAAGTCACTTTGCTCTAAGTAAAAATGTCAAAAAAAGGAGATAGCAGAATGAAACACAATGAAAAAGCAAACAAAAAGTAACCCTTAGCTTATTAATATCATCACCAACATCCAAAGAAAACTATATGAACATCAACCACCATACAAAGTCACTACAAGAAAAACACGTAATAGTACTAAAAATGTAGAATTTGACCTCAATGTAGCAACCAAAAGACACAAAGCTCAGCTGAAAAAAACTACATCCAATAGCAATAAATCTTGCAAGAGAAAACTAAACAGAATAACATGCTGGAAAATTCAAAAATTAGAGCCACCTTGATCTAAAAAAAAAAAAGAACAAAAAAGGAGAGAGAAGAATGCAACAGAATGACTAATTCAACAAAAAGTAATCCTTAGCTTATAACAGCTTTACAACTACATGAAATTAGAAATATAAACATACTCAAATCTCAATTTATGAGAACGGGAATTAAACGATGAAAACATACATTTTTACGCATTATGTTGAGCTTCCATGCGATTAACCCTCTCTAGTAAGACGGCCAAAGACTCTTTGAGCACTTCATTTTCAGCTACCAATGTTTTTTTTTCAGTGTTTCTTGTTCCACTGCCATCTTTTCTAACTTTGCATCTGTTTCTTTCTTTTCTTTTTCTGCCACATCAGCTCTTTCCTTTTCATGGCGAACATCTTCAACATAATAACTTTTGGTTAAGGCACGTCCAGCACTTCCAGGCAGTTTCCCAACTGTTGCAATGCAAATCTCTTTAGGTTCATAACCGGCACTTTCCAAGTCTCTCATTTGACCCTAACATAAAAAGAACATAGCGTTAAATTGAATATAAAATAGAAAAAAAATCTATAAAGTCAATAATCATTGCACATTAGTTACCAAAGTTGTTTTTGATGTTTCCCCAGGCATAGTTCCTGTCTTTCTTGAGGTTCGACTATATTCAAATAAGTCAATGGGAGTTCTTTTTTTCATTCCGAATCCTTTCCTGTTACAGTTATCAAGAATGTCAAAGAAAAGTACATTTATTTTATGACTACAATCAAAAGTGAAACAAATAATTGAGTGCTACTTGCTGCTCAGCGAACCTTGCAAGAGAAAGGGTTCCCGTAAAGTTTGGCTCTTTGTTTTTGGCTCGGTTCTCTGTGTTGCGCTTACTCATTGCCTAGTTTAGTTCAAATGATAACCATAATTTAACTATTAGACATAATGATAAATTACAAATTATCACTTAATCCACAAAAGCATCATATCTAACCTTGAATTTTTCAGAAGTGAAATAATTGCAGAGATATATCCACTCTTCCTTGGGCAACTCATCAGGTACTTGACTTAATGCTTCCTCCTTTGATTTAAATGTTTTGAAGAGCCGACTATGCTTATGTTGGCGATTTCTGTATGATTTATTGACTTGCTGTTCAACAGCTTTCTTCATCTTTGCATCCACAACATCATCAGGAAACTTAGCCTACAAAATGTGTTAATAAGTGCTAGTTGAGTTGACTGAGGTACATGTTTAAAAACCAACCTAATTACTTACCATAACCCTTTGGCACATGGCTTCTCGGTCTTCCTTTTTCAACTGAGACCATTTTGGAACATTGTGCTTCCCAAACTTGCGAGCAACAGCACTAGATTCATTGATGAATGATTGTGAATCAGGACCTACAACACGTTTGTAACAATCATCGAGTTTAACTTTGTGTGGAGCATCATCATCATTTTTACGCCCACTAAGGTTTCTGGTTGGTCCTCTTTTAACAAATGTAGATGATTTTACTGCATTAAGCATTATAAGGAGCCAATGAGTTGAATATATGATGAATGATTACTTGTAAAATTTTAATGACGCAATCACAAAACCAAAGAAACAAAGTAAAAAACTGAAATCAATTAATTACTAACCTGAACAAGCAGACATGGGAGTCAAGGGAATATCTGAAAAAAATGATTCCAAAAAATTAGTACTAACCTCTCAAAGAAATTATAAATTAAAAGATGAAGGTGGAATCATTGACATTCTAACCTGAATCGCCAGCCAAAGGTGTCTCTGAATAATAAGAATCAAAGATACACTTATTAGACAAAGGAGTCTCTGAACAAAAGAAGCAAAGGTACACATAAAAGAGTTAAGAACTTGAACATCACCTTCATCATTTTCATCTCTTAAGTGAAAAGGTGAAACACTTGTTGAAACATTATGCTCAGTGGTTGAAGTAGACATTCCTTGAGCTGATTTCTGACCTTGGGATGATACAGAATCTCTAAGCCCGAGAGACTCAAGTCTTCTTTTCTTCACTAAAGTTTTTCTTCCCTTGCTAGGACCTGTCATCTAATAACCAAATTTAAAAGGGATTAGTTTACTAAAATTGAAAAGAAATGTTAATTTAGCATAGCAAATCATTTAACCATTTATTCTAAAGAGTATATATATATATATATATATATATATATATATATCACATATAGTTCTAATTGTTTAGACCAAACACAATTAAACACTTAGTTCCATACAATTTATTACAACAAAATTGTAAATTAGCTGGGACTTAGTCCTAACTATCATCATCAACATAATCATCATCATCCGTCCACAGCCCTTCATTTTCAACAAAACCATTAGCTAGAGCTTCATCACCACAATCAACATCACAATCTTCATCATCAATAAATTCATCATCGTAGTCATTTTCAATACAAGTCTCTGCAGTGGCAGCATTCACAATTGTGGCATCAATGCTGTTAAGTGATGGTACATCCCTAACAAGTTGTGGAATCTCTCCAAGGTCCACACATAAAACAAATCCTGGTTCTTCTTCTTGGATAATCTCATCAACCGATCCTTGTTCAGATTCAAGAACTTCATAAGAGCTACGATGATTAGCTTTTTGAACCACACACCAATCTTTGCCTAACTTCATGTCATCTAAAAAACACTTGTTCAGCTTGTTGAGCAAGCACATATGGCTGCTCTGAATACCATGTGTGGGAAACATTTACACTAATAACTCCCGACTCTTTATCTACTTGCATGCCATGAGCATCACCCAAATTAAACCACTCACATTTAAACAGCAACACCTTTTTTCTTCCTAAATAATACTCCACTTGAATGACATCTAGTAAGACACCATAGAAGTCAATAGTATTATTTCCATGTTCCCCTTTAACTACAACACCACTGTTTTGTGTCTTCCGATCACGTTCACGACTCTTTGTGTGAAACCTAAAACCATTAATCAAGCACCCACTATATCTTCTAATGCGACTATCCAGGCCAAATGCCGATGATCTGATTTCTCTTCTCATGGGTGAAGAAGATTTAAGAATCTGTCAACCGCCAACCAATGTTAAAAATGTTATAATTTTGAATATATCTTAAGAATCACATATAGTACACAAAATGGTGAAAACCAGCTTACTTGTTGTCGAAACTATGTTGGAAACTCTCTTTCATGATGCTGATCTATGTTAGTACTACATTCTGCCTCAAGTTTCAGTTTGTGGTTTCTACAAATTAGCGTAACCAAATCGATTAGTAGAAATTTTCGCAGCAAATAAATCAAGTAAAATAACTCTATCTTTTCAAAATATGAACTGGAACATTACCTGATGTGTTCTTCAATCTCTTCATCGTCAGTGTTATTAAGAACAAATATATAAACTTTATTCAGCTCCAAATCACTTATATCGTCATGCTTTGGTCTGCCAAATGGCCTCCCCTTTGAAGAAAACACATACAATTCACCACTCGCATCCTCCATTTCATTATTACGCTCTTTTCGAATACAATCAATATCTTCCAAATAAATGGATATCAATATATCTCTCAGCAATACAACCTTCTGGCCGAGCTTTGTTACCTACATAACTCTTTAATGTGCCCATTTTCCTGCAAGAAAATATATTAGACTATGTAGTAACATACATATTTCAAAAAATTAGGAAAACAAGGGAATCAAAGGTTCTTTTAAAAAAACAAAGTATTTACCTCTCAAAAGGAAACATCCAGCGATATTGTGGTGGCCCTGCAATCTTAGCTTCTGTAGGTAGATGAACCAACAAGTGCGCCATGATATCGAAAAAGGAAGGCGGGAAAATTTATTCCAACTTACAAAGTATAACTGCAATATTTCTTTCCTGCTCCTCCAAGACATCTACATATTGTGTTCTGCAACATAACTTCTTAAAGAAATCACTCAACTCAATCAATACCTGGCGAACCTCTTTATTCAAGCAATCTCGTATTGCAAGTGGTAGTAAACGTTGCATGAGTATGTGAAAATCATGGCTCTTCATTCTTGATATTTGAAACTCTCCATTTTTCACACACCTAGATATCTTTGAAGCAAACCCATCTGGATACTTGATTGAAGCCAAAAAATTGCAAACCTTTTCTGTCTCATCTTTAGTGAAACTAAAACAAGCTTTTGGCATCAAGAAACTGTCCCCTTTTGGAATTAAGTGCAGCTCCTTTTTCAAACCCAATTCCTTCAGATCTTTCCTGACATTCCGGCTATCTTTGGTTTTCCCCTTAATCCCCATGATTGTTCCAAACAGGGCTTCAGTAACATTTTTCATGACATGCATGATATCTTTATTGTGTCTTAATTTTAAATCTGCCCAGTAAGGTAGATCAAAGAAAATGCTCTTCTTTGTCCAATTCCAACCATATTCTTCGCGCTTACGTTTCCTATTGGAGGTGTTCTTCTTGGTCTTACCAAAAACGAATGCCATATCTTGATATGGTTCCAATTGCTGCATAATCTGTCTTCCTGTGACGGGTACAATAGGTTATCTATGATCAACTTTGCCATTGAAAGCTTTTTTCTCATTTCTCCAGCGATGATCTATTGGTAAAAATCTACGATGCCCCGTGTAACTCAATTTCCAAGTATACCGCAAATGCTCACAAGATGTATGAGACATGCACAAAGGACATGCAAAGTAGCCTTTAGTGCTATAACCAGATAACATAGCATAAGCAGGAAAGTCATTAATTGACCAAATAACACCAGCACGCAATGTAAATCTCTCACTTTTGTATGCATCATATGCATCTACACCACTCCAAAATAGCTTCAAGTCATCAATAAGTGGTTGTAAATAGACATCAATGTCATTACCGAGAGATTTCGGTCCAGGGATTAGCAATGACATTATAATGAATGGGTCCTTCATGCATTTCCAAGGTGGTAGATTATAAGGAACAACAAAGACAGGCCATATACTATATGCACTACTTAAGTTCCTGAAAGGGTTAAATCCATCGGTTGCAAGTCCCAACCTAATATTGCGAGGATCTTGTGCAAATGACTCATGAGTTTTGTCTAAATGTTTCCATGCCTCACAATCAGCTGGATGACTCATGACATTAGAAGAATTAGTATCACGTTTTTCCTTATGCCACCTCATGTCATAAGCAATCCTTGTTTACATATAGCTTTTGCAGTCTAGGGATTATGGGGAAATAACGTAATACCTTACGAGGAACTTTGGAACTACTAGACATATAACGAGGCTCATTATAATTCGTATTTGGACAAATGCTTAAATCCTTGGATTCTTTCCTATACAAAACACAATCATTAACACAAGCATGGATTTTTTCATACTTAAAACCCAAATCTCGAATAATCCTTTTAGCCTCATAGAATGATTTTGGGATTAAAGCTTCAGGTGGAAGCACATCCCTAAATACTCCCACTAGAGCATCAAAGGATTTTATGGTCCAACCACTTGTAGTCTTTAAATGCAACAAAGACACAATAAAAGATAGTTTAGAAAATTTGACACAACCTGGGTAAAGATTTTCCCTTACTTCTTCCAACATTTTGTGAAATTTATCAACCTCACCATCTTTTTCAAATGGAACATGTTGACCTCTTTCTTCCCCTCTTTGGCAATTCTCACCAAAATTAGCATTTCCTACGTCATTTAACATCCTGTTCAAATCACTTTCATCATCTTGTTCCATGTCATAAGATATTTTATCTTCATTCCAATCATTTTCAAATGTCTCTCCATGAAAATTCCACGTAGTATAGTCTCTACGAAATCCATATTTAATTAAGTGCGACATCACATAGTTCTTAGGAAAATCCCAGTAGTTGTTGCAGTCGGTGCAAGGGCATGGGATTTTTTCATTTAGCTCTAATACACTATAGGCAAAATCTAAAAAATTTTGCACTCCTAATAGATATGCTTCATCTGTTCTATTTCTTATTTTCATCCAACTCCTATCCATGGCCTATAATAGTATTAACATGAATAGCACAAGTAGTTACCTTGTATGAAATATCAAATACAAATTCCTGCAGTTTGATGACTTGTAAACTTCAAAGATATTTGTCAACAGCATGCGATTACTCAACATATTATCAATATATCATATAACATTATAAGTCAATTAATACTATATTACTGTTCAGTTCATTACAAAAGTAGAAATATATATATCAGAAACTTGATTATCAAACAATAAAGCACAATCTCATACTCTGAAACAAGCATCTTACATTAAAAAAAAAAGTCTTCAATCACAAATTGAGGAAATCCTTCAACAAGTAAAGCTAGAAACCATCCAAAACGACATGAATTCCAATTTGAGAAACACCTAAAGAGACATTACTACTTAGGGGCATTCAAGACGTAACTAAAAGTCACTAGTTGTATGGTCATTATGCTTCTGCCCGTGGGAAAGAACAAACAATGAGGACATTTTAAAGTATGCACACCAAGGGATTCATAAGCATTTAACAAATAATCGATGGTCAGAAGAGGCACGAACCTTAATAGAAATATCTCACTTGTGCTTTTTCCCCTGATAAGGTGGAAGGATAAGAATGCAGGCAAAGTTCTAGTAGTCCTTAGAATGCTTTTTCCTGCATAGAGTCAATATATAAGTGCCTTAAATATCTAATCGTTGGAAAGATTATCTCATGTAACATGAAAATAATGCATAAGAAAAGTGTTTTTTTAAAAAAAAAATCGGCTTGAATCCAGACTTTACAATTTGACATCAGTTTTACATTACTCCAGCAGACAAGTTCCACAGTACAAGGATTCAGCATTGAACTCAACAAGGATATATAGCATTTCCTCTGCCTATGGTTGAGATTAAAGCTTAAATAGGTTGGTTCAATGGCACACCAAAAACCTGAATAATCGAGTATATATAAACTAAAAGAGACCGATAAGCTACATAACTTCCTTTACCTTACTTCTGGAAGTCCACTAGAAATGCGAACATACAACATCAAGATAAGAAATGTCTAGCCTAAAGCTTAAAGATCCAATCTTTTTGTGCATATATCACATAAGATGAAACAAGGAACTGGGTGATAACTGCACAAATGCTAATTCACCAAGTGTAGATATAACTAATTCAACAAGGATACACAAAAGAAACTTGAAAATTGCAGAATTTTTTCAAACCATTTACACATTACATTCAAATTATAAATAATTTTGAAACTGCAGAAAAAAAAAATTGATTTGAAAAGATTTCATTGAGGCAAAACCAGATCACCCCAAAAAGAACAGAGTCACCAATGAGAAATAGAAAAATATCCATAAATCACAAACGAGCATTACAGTAAATCTGAACTTCAATATACAGAGATTTACAAGGAACACCCAAAAATAATAATTTCGATTTGAAGATAGCCATTATTCCTCTTTTCCAAAAAAAGAAACTTAGAAATGCTTACCGTATTTACCGAAAAACGCAGAGAGCATTGCACGATTAGAAGTCTGATACTTGGAGTAAACACTAGAGGGAAGTGACAGAGCAGATGGAGGACGATAAGAAAAGGAATCAATGATGAGCTAGCTCCGGTCAGATAGGGAATTCACAATGAGGTTTTGCAATTGACTTTGGAGGTTTATTGACTATGGGGTACTGAATAGAACTATGGGGAGACCGCCGATTAGCTGAAAACGGTCAGCCGTCGATGAGTTGAATTGGAACGGCGAGGGCTTCTCCCAGTAGTTGATTTTGGTGGAGTTTTTGGTGGAGTTTGGGAAAAAATGAATACGCCGGCCTGTTTTGAAAAAGAAAAATTCATTACTTAGCCAAAAAGAGGGACCAAAAAGTGTGCAGTGGCCTCGTTTCTTGTGAAAATTGGTTTGCCCCCTTTTCCCTCCATCTAAAATATTAAGACAAATTTCCCTCCCAACTAAACTGTACAATAGCCCGCCCACTTTTTTTGCTCAACTATGTTTTCTTTTTCCAAATTTTTTTTATTTTTCTTTCCATTAATGAAGTTAATCTTTGTTTCCAAAATATTTAAATAATATTTTATTCTAGATTTTTTAAAACAAATCTTTTTTCCAGTTAATAGTATTAGTGGTCTCTTTCTCTTTATAGCTCAACTAATGTACGTAATTTAATAGTCAACTGTTTAATTGCTTAATTGAGGATACACCGAGTTGTTAAAAGAACCTGTTATTGTAAAATCATAGCTAGCACATGACTTAATCGAGTTTGCATACCAACAAAATGTAGTCGCGTAAACATTAAGCTTATGTGTGCTACCTTGTTTTTAAAAAAAAAAAATCCCAAACTGGACAATCATTATGGGACTGAAATAGTATATATACTTAAGAATTTAACTACAAGGTATTTATATTTCAGTGTTTCAACGAGTTATTTTACTAGAGTTAACAATATGTGTTTAAGTCAAAGTTCTGTAAAGAATTCATATATTAGGATGGGGTGTGCATGGCTCGGTTGAAATTGGCTAAATCGGTCGTGCCGGTT